ATGTTGAGTTGTATTTTTTCCCTGCGTGTATCTGTTTTTGCCATGTTTCATATGTTTTTCTATTTGCCTCTCTTTCTCTTGTTCCTTGTCCTTAGTAGTTTATGTCTTGTCTTTTATCTTAGCTCTTAGTCCTGCGTTTCAGTTCTTTGCATAATTCTCAGTCCTGTGCCATTAGTTCATGTTTTAGTATTTACTTCTAGTTCCTGGTCTGCATTATTTTAGTTTAGTCTGCTCAGTAGTCTGTGTTCTAGTCTGTGTTCTCATTTAGGTTCTGGCTGTTATGATCCCTGTGTTATAGTTGGTCAAGTGTTCTGTCTGTTCCCCCAGTTATCCCTCTGCCTGCCTGACTCTGTTTCCCCTGCTGTCTCTCTCCCTCGTTACCTTGATCCCAGTCACCTGTGTTGCTACCGCCCTGCTCGTTACCCCTGGGTATAAATGTCTGGTGTTTCTGTTGATTCCCTGTCTGGTCATTGTAGCATGTTGAAGTGCTGTCTTGTCCTGCCTGTTCCCTGTGAGTTCCTTGGATTTTGGTTTTCAACTGTTTTGTTTTTTTTATTTTTGTTGGATCATCTGCTTAGTTGTACCTCTATGATTTTGGATTACCTGGACTCAGCCACTCATCATAAGTGTGCTCGCTTTTTGTTTGTTGGAATAAATCTCCTTTGAACTGTACCACCTCTGCTTTGCGTCCTGCGTTTGGGTCCTTCAACCTGCTCAACCCACATCCACCGCCACACTCGCACTATATTCAATTCAATGCAATTTTATTTATATAGCGCCAAATCACAACAACAGTTATCTCACAGCGCTTTTCATAAAAGAGCAGGTCTAGACCGTACTCTATAAAACTCTATAATACTCTATAAAACCCAGCAAAGGTCCAACAAAACAAATTCAGCCAGCAAAGCTAAATTAAGCCACTGACAAAAGGACCATGCACCTCTCTAAATAAACCACTGGACCAATGGACAGAAGATAGGGATCCAAAAATTACACAGAATATATCCGTCACCCTGACAAAACAAATTCCAGAACTCCTCAAACCTGAAGCGAGGATCCCGGACGAGCCCCCACTTGTCACAAGCCAGCTCTTAGCCCATGACAAAAAGGAGGTGAGACACAACAGGTTTCAATGCCAAAGATATGCTTTATTATAAAAGTAAAAGAAAGGTCAGATAATCATCAAAAATACGTGGTGTGGCAGATTATGACTATCAGTTATGTCAGCAATGAATGGATGAGTGAGATGTGTGTGTGTGTGTTGGCAGGATAAACCAAAAGAAAGCAGCATTTAAAGTTTAAAAGAATGGGCATTATTTATTAAGAGTTTGGCACTCAAAACCTGAGTTAATTTGGTTCATTAGGAGTGTGTATGTGAGGTTTCATCAGATTTAAATGACATCTGACACGGAATATGTAAAATCATCTATTTGTAACTTCGGAAAAAAACAATACAGCGAAAACAAAACAATAGAAACTGTAATAACTGTTTTAGTTATTTCAACCTTTTGCAGAATGTTGTTCAGGTATGATTTCATCGCTTATAATGATAAGTTCAAGGTTCCATTCAAATATTGAAATTGTTTACTTTATTAAGCTAATTTAAGCTCAGTGAAAAACTAAAAGGCAACCAAAAAGAGCTCATTATATTAACATCACTTCACTAACACAGTATTTAAGAAACGTTAAGCACACTAATACCTACAGTTATAAACCAGCTGGGGGTCAAACTGTACTGTGAGTTTTGCTGCAATTCATTCTTAAAGCTGTGATGATGCTAATCTATTTTCTTCTTTAGCGTAGCTAAATGTGGTTCACATGTTCTCTGGCCAGCTCTGAACGTTGCAGTGAAATCTCAACACATTCTGCTTTAACAGGGCAAATAGTTAAAATCTCATTATTAACTGAAAGATTTTCAGTGAAGGCCCTGCGATGGACTGGCGACCTGTCCAGTGTGTACCCCGCCTTGCAGCCCCCCGCGACCCTGTACGCAGGACAAGTGGTTGACAATGGATGGATGAATTCTCAGTGAAATTAATTAACATGATCAGGTTTTTGTTTCAAACTCACCACCTGATATCTGGTGATGAAGGTGGAGTTTTTGAGCTAATAATCTGAACTTTAGAAAACCAGGTGATGTTTCTGCAGCAGACTTACGGACAGTGAACTGGTTTTGACTACAGGTACGTTTGGATCATCAGGAGCTCCAGCAGAGGGCAGCATGCTGTTATTTTCTGTTGGTTGAATGATCTTCCTGAACAATGTACTTACAAGAATCCTTCTGCACACCTAAAAAAAAACCTTAATGGTCAGGCACAGTCATATCTTAGGGATAGTAAGTGATTGTAATCCAATACACTTTTTGTTAAATTCAGTGACATTTTCCTCACTAGCTCTCCGTTTTGTGAGTACCGTCTTTTCCTTGCTACTGTAAGTGCTTGCTCATAATGGGAATTGTTGGGTCTCTGTTAATAATTTAACAAAGATTATGGTCTAGCAATGCTTTATATCAAGGGTAAGATAACTTCTGTTCCCTACAGCTGATACCGCCAAAACATGGACACACACACCAGAACAATTTCCCTCACAGTGTTGGAAAGACTTTTCCGTGAATTGGAGTCAATTGGATTTTTTTGTGACTTTAATTTTGTAGAATTTCCATGTTTTGTTCTGGTAAATTTACCACTTTCATCTAGGGTATTTTTTCTCGGATTATTAACCCCTCATGGCTCTGTATTTTTTAGACACGTAAAATAGCCAATCTAGATATGTAAAACTATTTAGGATAATTAAATTAACCCATGCAGATGGGCTACATCTCGTAAAAAACAAATTTACAAATAATCTTTCTCAATGTAATAATACAAAGTATCTGGGGATTTCATTGTCTACATTACATCATATTATTAAATATTCAGAGAATCAGAAGAAAGACAGTATTGGATGGCCGTGAACTTTGGGCCCTCAGACGGCACTGCATCAAAAACAGACATGATTCTATAGAGGACATCACTGCATGTGTAACAAGCCAAAGGTTGTACTGCACGGTTCTGACTTGAACCGGCGACCTTGGTTAAGGAAGGCGGACGCACTAACGAGGGGTCTAAAACCCAGGGGTACTAGCACGTCTTATGGTGTCGGGCAGTGAGGTTTACTCACTGGAACAGCCTACCTGGCTTCTGTTACACTCCGCTAAACTTCACTCCCATCCGTGTCATTGCAAGAATGGGAAAACATTCTACTTTCCAGCAGGCCCGCCATCAGGGGGGGTCAAAGGGTACAGATGACCCCCACCCAAGGCCTATGGGGGCCCATGCAAAGGTCTATGGTTAACCCTTAAATGGGAGTTACACACTTTACTTACTTTTCTAAATAACTAAACACTTTTACATGATAAATAAATGTATTATTATCATTAAAATAAAAAATTTCAAACTTGTCATCTGATAACCCTCCCCCGCTGTTATTGTGAAAATGGTACAGTCGAAACATTTGGCCATTCAGATGTGCAGGCGAGTCGCATTAAGCAAACACTGCAGCTTGTCAGGGGCCCAGAAAAAGAGGAGCCAAAACAAACCGAGAAAGTAAAAGCATAGGGAGGCAATGTCCAAATCTTTGGCCAAACAATGTGTTCAGAAGCACCATGTATGTCTGACAGGCAAAGGTGAGGAGCTAACAGGCAGATTAGCAAAGCTTTAGCTTGCTTAACCTTTAAATAATGTAAGACCAGAGCTGCAACTCTCAGGCGCTGAGCGTGACACTCACGCAGTTGACAATTTTCATACGTTCTCACGCTACACAACGATTTTCTCACATAGTGAAAACCAAATGTAAAATTGATAATAACGAGTCAGGGTGAGTGAACTCCACCCAGGTGATGCGATCACATCTAAAATCTAGTGTGTAGTAACACCCACAAGTTCCCTTGTAACAGCCTCAAGAAAACTGACAGCAGCACATCACAGGTCAGAGGATACAGCTGCAAATATGGTTACAGTATAATAAGTTATACATGAGGTAAACCTCTGTTTATATTATTATGATCATCATTTCAGCTGACACAGCCGTATATACTCATACAGTATTTCAGTTTTGTACATAATTTAACCAATATGTTGATTAATGTAGTCCTCAAGATTGAATTTGATGGATTAAGTATGTGTATTTGTTCACTCATAATTAAATTGTATGATTTAATGCTTTGCAGTAATTTCTTAAACATTTGATTTTACCGTTGTCTGATCAGCAAATCATTGAAGGGCATTTTTTTCTCTCCTTGTTTTAAGTTAAAATGAGGAACAGAACACAGTCACAGTCTAATGAGTAATTGAATATATATGTGAGAATGGCCTGGATGAGTCTACAACACTGAATTTCGAAATTATTGTTTCGGACTCCATCTGTGTAACTATAAGCCAAGAGCTTCTTTGAAATTGCCCTTGTGCGTATTAGAACTAAGAAGTTGGTCGAGGTGGTGCTGGATTGGGTGTCGATGAGGGGCCCAGTTTGGAAAATGTTGTCCCCCTGTCCAAAATTCCTAAAGGCGGGCCTGCTTTCCAGCTCACAGTAGTCAGTCTCCTCAGGTCCCAGACTTTCACAGAGGGTTGTTAAAAGAAGAGCTGATGCAGCAGAGCAGGAAACACCACCCTGTCCCAACTTAATAGAAACATCTTGCTGGCATCAAATTCCAAATGGGCGTATCATTTTCCAAAAACAATCACATTTCTCAGTTTCAACATCGGATAAGTTGTCAGTCAAATATTTTGGAAACAGGGTTGTATATCAAACCTTACTGCTTCAAATGTCTTGTACTGTTAAATTGTTCTTGGGGTTGTGAGAGTGTTTAGATCCTGGAACAGATAACTGTGAAGAAAAAAAGAAATAACACCCTGATGAAAATGAAAATGTGTGGTTTAAAGGCCGGAAGAGACTAAGGGGAACTTCTCTTAAGATGTGCATGTCTTCAGAATGAAAATGACACACCTGACGTATACATACATTTCTCGCTTTGTCCAAGGCTCATATTCACTCTTTCACTTTATTCCAGGACCCGACTGACACAGGTACTATGCTTCTGTTACATTCTTCCTCGAATGTGTTAATGTGATTCCTGTGATTGTGAGATTGCTTTTTATCTGGGTCGTGATTATTATTATTATTAGGAATAAACTAAATATGATCATTGTATGCCAACATAACAAAATTAATGTTATTTTAAGATTTATAATTTGCTGATTTGTGCCAGTAGTTATTGGTTTTTAACTGTTTTATTCTCTAGCCATGGGAAATAAACACTCCAAACGAGATGCATCCATAATTCCTCCATGTAAGATTGTTTCAGAAACAAAGTTCTTAATATTTTGTATAATTACATATTAATGCATGACAACTGTGTGTTTTCATAATATTTTGTCTTATCTGAACATGTGTTGTGTATTTGTCAGTTCTCAGCGAACCATGGAGGACAATAAACTGGGGGTGAGTGTGTCCACACCATCAATGTTAGCTTGTTAAACAAAATCTTTCACAGCAGAAGCTACAGAAATTTACTTGTGATTGTTTTTTTTGTTTGTTTCCTTGTTCGATCTCCTGATTCATTTCTCAGTTGATGTGTGACATCAGTGCAAAATGAGTTTAGTCTGTACTCAAATGTTTCCTTCCCTGCGCAGAGACAAACAGAGCGCTCTGCAGAACATGAAGAACTACAAACCTCATGATGAAGGCCAGCAGCTCAGGATTCTTCTTCATGGCCCAGCTGGAGCTGGAAAGTCCAGTTTCATCAACTCTGTTCAAAGCCTGTTACATGGCAGAATGTACACACTGGCTTTGGCAGATAACATCTTTCACGGCAGTTTCACCAGGAAGGTATGAATGACGTATTGATAAAGAGAATATCACAAATTCATTATTCCTTAATACGTTGCAATAATTAGTTTATTATTATTATTATCACTTTATTATATCATTTTCAACCAAGGAATACAAAGTGCCTTCTAGAGTTTTCTGCGTTTGCAGTGGAAGTAAAACTAAACAACAAAACTCAGTGTCCCCATTCTTCGTGGCTGAGTTTCTGTTGCTCCCAATCGCTTAGACTTTGTTATAATACCATTACCAGTTGACCGTGGAATATTTAGTGGTGAGGAAATTTCATGAATGTTATTGCACAGGTGGCAACCTATCACTGTACCACAGTTTATTCACTGAGCTCCTGAGAGTGACTCATTAGGTGCTTTCACACTGCCCAATTTTCCGGGATTATTACGGCAGCTCGCTGCGCTGTGTGAAAGGTACTGAGCCGGAAAGGGGGGTCAGATTTGATCCGCCTCTGAGCCGGGAATGTTGGTAGTAACATAGGCGGAACAATGTCTGTGTGAAAAGCCACAGCCGTCATGCCGGAACAGGAGTGACAGTTTCAAGCTGTTGTGTTACAAGTCGCGGTCTCTTTTTTTCGGTCTAAATCCACGACTACAGCTGCGCCACGGCTTTGTTGCCAGTGTCCACTGGAAGTGTCTCAGCATCGACTTGTTGTTTATTTGTCATTTTTGTGCTTCTACTACCTTCTCCAGAGCTCCCTCTCCTCCCGTTTTGTTCCGTCAACTTCAGGCTGCATATCCACAGGGACCATTTCAGAATAAGAGCATTTAGCCTGCCCGATTTTGTAGACATGTTTAGATTTTATTGATTTGGTAATCAGTGCTTGCTTTTGTGCTTCAACTATGATTAAGTAGGCTTCGTAGTTAAGTGGTTTCTTTCTTGTCTGATTTGACAGTGTTTATTGTTGTTTTACGATCAGGAATCTGCACAGGGTATTTTATTTAGAAAATTGACTGGATGAGCTCTGGCAGCCGCGGCGTAGGTGGACTCAGTGGAGGTAACCTGGAAAGCCGGAGCGCTACATGAAAGCACACATGGTTGTGGGATTACGCCACAATATTTTGTTCAGTATGAATGAGCAAAGGCGGCATACATTTTCTTTCCTCGTTTGTTGCAGAATCTGTGTCTGTGTGAAAGCAATTATTCTTTCCCAAATGTTGAATGAAGCAATCTGCATGCCCAGGTGCTTGATTTGATACACCTGTGGCCATTAAAATGATTGGAACACCTGAATTCAATGATTCGGAGGGTGTCACAATACTTTAGGGAATATAGTGTATCTGGACTGGCAGCAGGCCGGGCAAGCACACGCACTGTGTCTACGAAGCTACGCTTTTGTTGCCTGTGCAGAATGAGGCCTGGCATTGTCCTGCTGAAATAAGCATGGATGTAGGAATGAGACGTTGCCTTGATGGCAACATTTGTCTCTCTAAAATCCCAACATATGCCACTGCGTTAATTGTACCTTCACACAGTAAAATTTTCATACAAATTTTGTCGGTCCAATCGTTATCATCTCAGCCTTTGCTGAGTTGAGTAGCAGGAAGTTTACGGATAACAAGCTCCTCACAGCAGCCAGGCAAGTCTTTAACTTTAGCAGAGTCAGATGCATTTTCTGCCAAAACTGGCATATAAATTTGTAGATCATCAGCATACAGTAAAAAGCCATTCCAAATGAGTGAATGGTGTGACCCAGTGGTGTAATAAAAAAAACAATGGACCAAGGACGGAACCCGGTGGGACCCCATGCTTGTCCACAGTATCAATAGCAGTGCTAAGGTCTAACAACAAGAAGTAAGTGTGTTTCAGTAGAATGTTTAGCCCGAAAAGCAGACTGCAGTGAAGACAAATATTTTAACCGATGGTTTGAGACGATTGGCTCAAAGAGGATTTAACTACAGCAAATCTGAGCAAACTGAACAAGCTCCATTGGAGAGTGAAAGGTTTAAGATAGCTAAAATATAAAATCCTAATTTGGCCACAGTTAAAAAAGGTTCATGTGACTTAACAAATCCAGATTGATGTTTTTATTGCATTTTGGAAAATATCCCAGCTTTTCTGGAAATGGGGTTTGTATAAAAATATGAATAAGAGATCATAGCAATATGTTGTAAGGCATGTTGTAAGACAAGAATCTATTACTCAATCTGCAGCAGTGACACAACTACTGCATAAACTGTTGGAACCCGCGGTCCACAGGAAGAATTGACTTTGCAGAGTTCCACTGACTTCCTGTTTCTGCTGTCCTTGTGGTTAGGGTATGATCAAGTTTAGGCAACTACGACTGCTACTATTTCTCAATTAAAAAGAAAGAGATGGTTAATACGACCTATGTTGTTGCTTATGTTGGAGGACTTGTTGGATAGAAAATGTGTGTTTTTAGAATGCATTAAAACTCTCACCCACTGTTAAATTTATCTACAGATTGTGAACTGTCAAGAAAGCAATGTGTATATGCGATATATATGACTAGATTATATTGTATAGCAAGATCAAAACTGTTAAATGACAAAGTTACCTGTCTCTACATGTTTCACTTTTCACGCCTTCACATTTTCTGTTCTGTGTTTGTAATAGGCTAAGTCAGTGTGAACATAAACCTGCAGGCTGCCCCTGCCCCTTGTTCCACAGAACAAGAATTAAATCAAAGAGGAAAAGCGGGGTCTTATAAAGCTTACTACAGTATCTCACAAAAGTGAGTACACCACTCACATTTTTGTAAATATCTGATTATATCTTTCCATGTGACAACACTGAAGAAATGACACTTTGCTACAATGTAAAGTAGTGAGAGTGCAGCTTGTATAACAGTGTAAATTTGCTGTCCCCTCAAAATAACACATCACACAGCCATTAATGTCTAAACCGCTGGCAATAAAAGTAAATACACCCCAAAGTGAAAATGTCCACATTGGGCCCAAAGTGTCAGTATTTTGTGTGGCCACCATTATTTTCACCAGGGCTACTCCTCCATGATGACATCACGGATTGGTGGATGTTAGAGACCTTGCACTCCTCCACCTTCCGTTTGAGGAGCCCCACAGATGCTCGGTAGGGTTTAGGTCTGGAGACATGCTTGGCCAGTCCATCACCTTTACCCTCAGCTTCTTTAGCGAGGCAGCGGTCGTCTTGGAGGTGTGTTTGGGTCGTTATCATGTTGGAATACTGCCCTGCGGCCCAGTCTCCGAAGGGAGGGGATCATGCTCTGCTTCAGTATGTCACAGTACATGTTGGCATTCATGGTTCCCTCAATGAACTGACACCATCTAAACCAAGTAAGTTTATCTTGGTCTCATCAGACCACAGGACATGGTTCCAGTAATCCATGTCCGTAGTCTGCTGGTCTTCAGCAAACTGTTTGCAGACTTTCTTGTGCATGAACTTTAGAAGAGGCTTCCTTCTGGGATGACAGCCACGCAGACCAGTTTGATGCATTGTGTGGCATATGGTCTGAGCCCTGACAGGCTGACCCCCCACCCCTTCAACCTCTGCAGCAATGCTGGCAGCACTCAGACGTCTGTTTCCCAAAGACAACCTCTGGATATGACACTGAGCATGTGCACTCAACTTCTTTGGTCGACCATGGCGAGGCCTGTTCTGAGTGGAACCTGTCCTGTTGAACCGCTGTATGGTCTTGGCCACTGTGCTGCAGCTCAATTTCAGGGTCTTGGCAGTCTTCTTATAGCCTAGGCCATCTTTATGTAGAGCAACAATTCTTTTTTCAGATCCTCAGAGAGTTCTTTGCCATGATGTGCCATGTTGAACTTCCAGTGAGCAGTATGAGGGAGTGTGAGAGATCTTGCTATACAATATAATCTAGTCATATACACATTGCTTTCTTCACAATCAGCAGATAAATTTAACAGTGGGTGAGAGTTTTAATGCATTCTAAAAACACACATTTTCTATCCAACAAGTCCTCCAACATAAGCAACAACATAGGTCATATTAACTATCTCTTTCTTTTTAATTGAGAATTAGGAGCAGTTGTAGTTGCCTAAACTTGATCATACCTTAACCACAAGGGCAGCAGAAACAGGAAGTCAGTGAAACTCTGCAATGTCAATTCTTCCTGTGGACGGCAGGTTCCAACAGTTCATATGCAGTAGTTGTGACACATCACACAGCCATTAATGTCTGCTGGCAAGAAAAGTGAGTACACCCCTAAAATTGGGCCCAATTAGCCATTTTCCCTCCCCGGTGTCATGTGACTCGTTAGTGTTACAAGGTCTCAGGTGTGAATGGGGAGCAGGGGTGTTAAATTTGGTGTTATCGCTCTCATACTCCCTCATACTGCTCACTGGAAGTTCAACATGGCAAAGAGCTCTCTGAGGATCTGAAAAAAAGAATGGTTGCTCTACATAAAGATGGTCTAGGCTATAAGAAGACTGCCAAGACCCTGAAACTGAGCTGCTGCACGTCACCAAGACCATACAGCGGTTCAACAGGACAGGTTCCACTCAGAACAGGCCTCGCCATGGTCGACCAAAGAAGTCGAGTGCACGTGCTCAGCATTATTTCCAGAGGTTGTCTTTGGGAAATAGATGTATGAGTGCTGCCAGCATTGCTGCAGAGGTTAAAAGGGTGGGGGGTCAGCCTGTCAGGGCTCAGACCATACGCCGCACACTGCATCAAGTTGGTCTGCATGGCTGTCGTCCCAGAAGGAAGCTTCTTCTAAAGATGCTTCACAAGAAAGCCCGCAAAACAGTTTGCTGAAGACAAGCAGACTGAGGACATGGATTACTGGAACCGTGTCCTGTGGTCTGATGAGACCAATATAAACTTATTTGGTTCAGATGGTGTCAAGTGTGAGTGGCGGCAACCAGGTGAGGAGCACAAAGACAAGTGTGTCTTGCTTACAGTCAAGCATGGTGGTCGGAGTGTCCTGGTCTGGGGCTACATGAGTGCTGCCTGCACTGGGGAGCTACAGTTCATTGAGGGAACCATGAATGCCAACATGTACTGTGACATACTGAAGCAGAGCATGATCCCTCCCTTCGGAGACTGGGCCGCAGGGCAGTATTCCAACATGATAACGACCCAAACACACCTCCAAGATGACCACTGCCTCGCTAAAGAAGCTGAGGGTAAAGGGGAAGAGGACTCCAGCACCGACCTGTGAAGCTCTGGTGAAAATAATGGTGGCCACACAAAATATTAATACTTTGGGCCCAATGTGGACATTTTCACTTTGGGGTGTCCTCACTTTTGTTGCCAGAGGTTTAGATATTAATGGCTGTGTGATGTGTTATTTTGAGGGGACAGCAAATTTACACTGTTATACAAGCTGTACACTCAGTACTTCACATTGTGGCAAAGTGTCATTTTAGCGTTTAGTCTTTAGTGTTACATGAAAAGATTTGATCAAATATTGACAAAAATGTGAGGGGTGTACTCACTTTTGTGAGATACTGTATATGCTAGCTGGGTATTAATGTGTCTATGTTTGCTCTATAGTGGTAATAATATAATAACTGACATTTTCTCCATATGTGCTTTACAGTACACAACCTACAAGATCCAAAAAGAAAGTCCACAGTCCTTTTACCCTTTTGTCTTCAGTGACATCATGGGTCTGGATTCAAACAAAGGTGTCAAAGTGGAAGACATCAATCTGGCTTTGAAGGGACATATGAAGGACGGTTACAGGGTACATTTGCCACAAACTTTGCAGACTTTTCCCACAAATGGGCTTATATTTTGAATCATATTTTTATTTATATATAGCACCTGTCAATTAACTGGATTTCAATTTGTTTTCCAGTTCAAACCTGAATCACCGTTGTCAGAGGGTGATCAATTCTACAACAAATATCCCACTGCCAATGACAAAGTGCACGTTCTGGCTTGCGTTATTAATGCCAACACAATGTCTCAAATGACAGATTTAACTATAGAGAAGATTCGGAACGTCAGGCTGGAAGCCAGTCACCTGGGTGAGAGCAGGAATTTCATTCTTCTCTTCAGTGGGTTTTTAATAGAGCACACTGATTGGTTGAACTTAAAATGTTGAAACCTCCTGCAGCTGTCTGTAGTTTCCATCATCATAGAGAACAGCAACTGTGGTCAGTTACATGATTCAGTAGTTTTGTGTTCTCCTGGCAGGAATTCCTCAAGTGGCCATCCTCACCAGAATTGATGAAGCCTGTCCTGAAATCAAACAAGATTTAAAGAACGTCTACAGGAGCAAGTTCCTGAAGGAAAAGGTACGTTTAATAGGTAATATTATGAATTCGCAGAGGTGGAATCACATTTGAAGTTTGAGTTATTAAGTCAAAACGTTTTCAATCCGACTTTTTCTCTCCTTATACCGCTTCTGTTACCAAAACTCAGGTTCCAGGCCAATTTAGAATACTGATCTATATTTCTGTTATTTAAAAACATTTGAACCTCTGGATTAAAGTCATTCCTGTAGTTGTGAGGTAACACAAGGCCGTGACTTCACATCAGAGAGCTTCATTACTATTGAATTGTTGTACGCAGCCTCCCAATCCTGACAACAGAAAGTCATTGTTACAACAGATATCTTGTCTTAGATCAAGCCAACTTCTGTTGATGTTAGCTAACCGCTAACGGCAGTCTCCACTTTCAGTTTCACAGTAAAGGCCTACCACTGCATGTGGTGGTAAAAATTGCTATTATGCTTAAATTACTATTATTACTTATGCATGCTTAATACTCAACCTTCTTTGTTATTATACTGTCCAATATGCTCTTGAATTGTTTTCTTCTTGTTCCCTTCCAAAAGTTTCAAGGCTGAGAAACGTTTGGCCAACACCTGATCCACTTAATAAAGTTGTCCAGTCCAGATTGGTGCAGTGAGCACAAAAAGCCTTTAAAACTCTGAGATGTTAACTGAGCTGTTGATCTTTTTAAACTGTAGATGGAGCAGTTCAGTGCAGAAGTGGGTATTCCCATGAACTGCATCTTCCCTGTGAAGAACTACCATGAAGAAATCAACCTCAACAATGACGTTGACTCGCTGCTCCTGAGCACGCTGACAAACATCATCAACTTTGGAGAAGACTGCATCAACTTCAAAAAGAGTCAGTCTGAATGTTGAGACAGATGTACGGGTATGCTCCTAAATGTTCTCAGATAACAGTGGTCCTGCATACTCAGCAGCTATAATACCAGGTGTGTGCTTCATGTAAAGTGCTGCCAGTGAATAATGTAGCCAGAAGTTCCTTTTTACTGGTGGTGTTCAGCTTCATGTTGGGTCAGCGGGACATTTTTATGGATCAGGGTAACAGATTGATAATGTCATTTGAAATGGCATTGTTACTTAAGCTGTTTTTGTTTTTTGATGTGGAGTTTTTTTTTATTTCTTTAATTGTGGTGATGTGCTTTTGGATTTTAGTCTCATGCTTCTTTCTGTTTTCTTTGTTTTCTAACATCGTGGGGCCATGTTGAAAACAAATGTTTTCCTTTAGATATTCGTACTGTGTCTGATAATCTATAAAATCAATGTTTGAATGCAGCATAAAAAGGCTGTATTTCATTACAAACAATCAGGTTTTATAACAATCTTGTATATGAATTCCTGATTTTTTGAATATTTGTATGTTTTAGTGTAAAGCCCCTGAAAACATGGCTTCAAATGTTTTTAGTATTTCTTCCCAACATTAAATATTTATGACTAAATTAGCAACAATTAAGGTTTTAAAAAAACAAAACAAACATCTTTGGTTATTCTTTCTGAAGAATCTAACAGTCAGAACCTGAGTTAATCTGGTTCTATAGGAGTGTGTGATCAGATTTAACTGACTAACTATTTGAGTCCTGCCCACTCAAATCAGAGAAAATTGTGAAATAACTAAAAGTGTTAAAAACAGAATGGAGTGTTCATGTAAGATTTCATCGCTTATAATGAGTAGCTCTGAGAAAAACTAAAAGGGGTTCGTTATACTGTATCAACATTACTTCACAATCAGTGTCTTTTAAGTCTTATTAAATACATAAATATAATACTATGTAGGAGAATATTAATGCGATTTATCAGACATTTACAAGCTGCACAATGTAAAGCTTCAAACATTTTGTTTTATTGCAGCATAAAGAAAAAAAATGACACATTCATCAAGACGATTCTATTGTTCCTGTTTGTTTGTGTTGTAAATGCTATTTTTATCTTCTCTTTAAGGTGGAATGTGCAGGAATAAGTGTCTTTATAAGTTACTGAATTTTGTGAAGTCTTAACAGTGAGCTGCTCTCATAACTTTAATTAACTTTTTAGTGGACTTCTTTATCATGCATATATATGTGAGGCCTTAAATTCAGAGATTAAAGGAGCCCAAATTTATATTAAGGAACATATAGAATACATCTAGAATAATAACGTTCTTTACAGACTTTTGTTTTGTTCACTTATGAGAGATGAGTCATTAAAATCAGAATATACATTCATTTTGATTAATTTAAAATTAGGAATTAAAAATTAGAGATTAAAATTTTTTAACCATCTAAATAATCTGCAAGCAGACATTGTCCTACTACAGGAGACTCATTTACCCAAGACAGCAGATAAACTAACTTCACCACACTTTACTCACTCGTACTCAGCCTGTTATCAGACATTTACACTCCCACCAAATCCTAGTACTAGTAGTAGTAATCCTAGTGCACTTTAACTCGACAAACTAAGCCATCACTACTTTGAACAGTCTCAATCACTTGTCAAAGTTGCCATTGATTTCTTGGGAGATTGTCATCTTTAATAATGACAATATCATTCACTTTGAGGTTGCGCTGAGGTGAGTGCCATTTCTGTCTTATGGACAAGTTCAACAGATACTCCTTTTTCCAGTGGCTCCAAAACTGTTCAATAAGATACTGAACTCTTCTCCACCTCTTTGTCGCATACAGGTCCTCCTTGACAAATACTCCAGGAGGAGGAAGAGCAACTTTAGATTTCATCAGTATGAGGTGATTCGGTGTTATAGGCTCCAGTGCCTGAGGATCATTGATTCCATCCACTGTTAATGGGCGGCTGTTAACAATAGCCATGGCCTCATATAACAGTGTTCTGAGGGAGGCGTCATCAAGTCGACCTGGGCACTGTGCAAAGGTGGCATTCAGCACGTTTCTAACAGTTCTGATCTGGCGTTCCCAGACACCGCCTGCGTGACTGTCAGAGGGAGCATTGAAGACAAATTCACACTGCTTCTCAGTCAGGAAGATTTCCAACAGCTTAGTGTCACATTGTTTAAGTGATTCCTTGAGCTCATTCCTGGCGCCAACAAAATTAGAGCCTTGGTCACAGTGTAGTTGTTGAACAGCTCCTCTCAGGCTGATGAAGCATCTCAATGAGTTGATGAATGAGTCTGTTGACAAATCTTCGAGCATTTCAATATGAACAGCTCTAGAGTACAGACATGTGAAAATCAAGCCGTATCTTTTGTATTCTTTGCGGGCTTTCTTTACAATGAACGGGCCGAAACAGTCCATGCCGCTGTATGTGAAAGGTGCTGAGGCTTCGACGCGTTGTTGAAGTTCGGCCATTTGCTGTGTCTCTGTCGGCCGTCGCAGTTTCCTGCAAAACACACAAGCGTGTATCAGCTTAGCAACCAACTTGCTCCCACCAATTACCCAGAATCCGTTGGCCCGAAGCTCCATTAAAGTCTGGCTTCGCCCCTGATGATATGTCTTAGCATGGAAATGGGACACAATCAGCTTGGTGATGTGGCTGTTACTTGATAAGATGACTGGGTGCTTGACTTTGTGACAGAGCGATGACTGGTTCAATCTCCCACCAACACGGAGGAGTCCTTCAGACCAGATAGGGTCGAGACGGAAAAGAGAGTTTGATTTTGGAAGGTCTCTTTTGCCCTGAAGCATCTTTATCTCCTGGGGGAAGGCTTGCTCTTGATTCTTGCCACCACCTTAAGAATTGTTGTCCAGGAGGAAAACTGACTCAAACGCCTGAGGATGTCATTGTAGTTTTTGACTTCTGTTGCAAGCACCTGAATTGTCTTGACTTCTGGATCACCCACGAGTAATTCTGATGGCACGAAGACCTCGGGAAGCATGATCTGCCGGGTTTTCTGTGGTGTCTACATAGTGCCACTGACTGGGATCATTGTTATCCCTTATCAGCTGAACACGGTTCGCAACATATATGTGGAACCTAAGGGCATCATTGTTAATGTACCCAAGCACAACTTGTGAATCTGCCCAGAAAACCTCTTCATCAATCTTTATGTCAAGTTCACCTTTTAACATGACACTGACTTTTGTAGAAACCACAGCTGCCGCGAGTTCTAGCCTCGGGATACTTGTGACCTTTGAGGGTGCAACTCTTGCTTTCGCCAACACGAGACTGCAATGGACTTCATCCTTGTCATTTTTATACCTGAGGTAAGAACATGCACCGTATCCCACGCAGCTGGCATCCGAAAAGTGGTGCAGCTCTACTCTGACAATGTTGTGGAAGTCATATGGGTGGTAACATCTCGGAATTGAAACCTCTTTCAACCTGTGAAGCCCATTTATCCACTCCTCCCACCGTGGCCTCATATCTTCTGGGAGTGGATCATCCCATCCGATGCCTCTGTGACACAGCTCTTGAAGTATACGCTTTCCAGTTAGACTGAATGGAGCGATGAATCCAAGTGGGTCATAAAGAGAGGCAATGACAGAAAGGCAACCACGCCGGGTTGAAGGCTGATCTTTTAAGTTGCTGCTAAAGCTGAAAGTGTCCGTTTTAATCGACCATTGAATGCCGAGTGCACGCTCTGATAGGGTTGGATCGAGCCCCAGAGGTTCGATGGTTGCTGCTCTTTCTGAGGGATCTAAGGTGGCGAGGGCTGCTTCCTCATTTGAGTTGAATTTATGGAGGCGTAGGCCTCCTCTTTTGCACAACTCCTGTGACTCAGTGATCAGTTTCTTGGCTTCCTCGACCGATGGGATGCTGACTAACCCGTCATCAACATAAAAGTTCTTCTCTACAAATGTTGATGCCAATGGATAGGTAGCTTTGTGTTGCCGTGCCAGATGTTTCAAGCCAAAATTGGCGCATCCTGGGAATGAGGCGGCTCCGAAGAGATGAACCGCCATCCTGAATTCCTGTGGTTCCTTCTCCAAATCTCCACCTTTCCACCAGAGGAATTTCAGATAATTCCGGGACTCAGGAGTAACCGAGAACTGATAAAACATTCTTTCGATATCACAGATAATCGCTACGGCCTCCTTCCTGAAGCGGCAAAGAACTCCTACCAGAGGATTGATAAGATCAGGCCCAGTTAAAAGAGTGTCGGGACGCATATTTATCTTCATAAGCTCTCTCTGTGAAGTCTGATTCTAGGGCTTTTAGAACATCTGTCGCCGATGGAATTGGCAGTTCTTTTACTGTGAGCCAATGCACAAAGCTCTGACTTCCTTGTCTATCTAGGTGAGGGTTTGATGAGCCTATGATACTCCATCCTAGTTTTGATCTCTGTGCAAACGGTTGATTTTTCTCCCCAATGATGACCTCAAGAGGAGCCAGTGCTGATGGACAGTCATATCCAATCAGGAGCCCTACATCACATTCTTGAAGGGGTGGTAACTTATCTGCCAAATGTCTGAGATGAGGCCACAGTAATGCGGTTTCCTTCGTTGGGATGTAAGACTTGTCCACCGGGATAAAGTCACGGCTGTAGGCCTGCTGTACTTGGATGTGGTTCTTAGAGTGCAGTCCTCGAACTTGTAGACCATGGACGTTCTTGCTGGATATGATTGTGTCAATAGCCGTCATAGTACTCAGTTTCAGTTTTACTGGCTGGGCATCCACGTTCAGTTTGTCAAGTACATCTTCTAAGACAAACGTGGAGTCACTCTGTGGGTCCAGTATTGCATATGTAAGTACTTCTCTGTGTGGCTCTTGTATTGAAGACACAAGGACTGGGACAATACTTGAGGTACCGGCAGCACGTTGTGTTGATATATGAGACACGACCTTGTGCGTTTCCAAGATTGCATGGTTTTCTGTGGAAGTGGAGGTATTCGTTGTTGCTTCCACAGGTCTTTGTTTCCTGTCATCGTGCAAGCAGGTTGGGTGACGACGGCTGCATATGTTGCATGTGTGTCGCCTCTTACAATCTTTGGTCATGTGACCCTTCCTCAGGCACCCAAAGCACAGCCGATTTTCACAGATGAATGCCTTCTTATCTTCAGCACTCTTTGCTGCGAAGGTGGGACACTTGATGATGTTATGAGCTTCACTTTTACAGACGGAGAAAGGTGATTTTGGTTTACTGCCGTTTGTTTCTTGTTTCTCCTGAGCGAAACTCTTCGTTTGTGCTTTTGTATTGAAAGCTTTGGCTCTCTTTAGTGATCTTTCATCTATGGCCTTGAAATTCATCAACAGTGGAGAAGCAATAGGGTTACAGGCTATCCGTGCCTCTTTGCTCAGGAACTTTGTGAAGGATGCAAGGTCTGGATAGCTTCCGCATGTGTCAAGTTCCTCTACAACAATTCGACTCCACTTGCGCACTATCCATTCTGGTAGTTTTTTGAGCAACTTGTGGTTTTACTCACAATCATTAAGGATAGCTAATCCTTTGACGTGTGGGATCGCCTCAGTGCAGCCTTGGAGGAAGTCAGCGAACCCTTGTAGAGCTAATGGGTCGTTTGTGTTGATTTTTGGCTATCTCATGAGCTTATCTCGGAAAGCCTTTTGAATGATGAACGGGTTCCCATATCTGTCTTGTAAGGCTTTCCATGCTCCATTGTATGCGCTCTCTGAATCTCGATAAAAAAGAAACCTTCTACAGCTTTGCGCGCCTCTCCAGCAAGATAATTTTTGAGGTAGAACATCTTCTCACTTGGTGGGAGAGGTTTTCTGTCAATAAGAGCTATGAATGACATCTTCCAATCTGTAAACTGTAAAGGGTCACCCCCTGAACGTGGTTGGTTCGGGGGACCAGCAAGCGATTCATGCTTAATGAGCTGGCGATTGCTTGGGCTAGACTGACAGACTCCTGGGTCATTGTCACTTCAGGAGCAGCTTGGTGAAGTTGGAAGGATGCAGCATCAGGATTTAATCGAGGTTCAGTTTCCGTTCTGTAGCAAGCAGAGTTAGTTTTGTCAATCTCCTCATCATGGTTCTCAAAACCTTCAAAATCATCATATGCTCTCACATGAGCTGCTGCTATGGCAACGTCTTTTGCTGCTTGTAACTGCTGCAATTTGTCTCTCTCTTGTTCCAACTGTTGTTGTTGCATTTCCACCTCTTTTTGTTTCATTTCTACTAATATTTTTGCCTCTTTAAGTTTCCATTCATTCTCTAACTTGTGAAGATGTGCTTGCTGTGCTTGGATTTCTTTCATGGCTTT